CTGTCACCCCCAAGGTCCCTCCCCCCTTGTCCACTGCGGTCCCCCTGTCCCCTATCTGCTCCCTGGCTCCTCTCCACAGGTCCTTCAGTAGGCTATGGGGTCCTTCTCCATCCCCCACGATGTCCCCCTTGTCACCTCCGTGTCCCTTGGGGTATCCTCATCTCCCCGTCACCTTCTTGTGCCCACTATCCTGCCTTGTCCATTGGGGTCTTATCCCCCTTTGTCCCTTAGGGGCTCCTCTGCATCCCCAGTGTCCCCCCATTGTCCCTTGGGGTCCTCCCGGCATCCCCGTGTCCCTTGTATCCCCGTCCCCTGGTGACATCTGTTTCTCCCATAGGGCTTCTACAAGGGAGGAAAATTCGTCTTCAGTTTTAAGGTCAGTCACGTGCATGGGGAAGGGGCAGCCTATGGCCGCCAGGACACGTCCTGTGGCCACCAAGATGGTGACCGGGGGCCGCTTGTCTGCCCCAGGGGCTGGGGGTGGGAGTGAGGGGCTGGTGGCCATCGAGGTGAGGCCTGTGGCCACCACGGTGTGACCTGTAGTCGTGAGCTTGCCCTCTGTATGGGGAGCAGGATGCAGGTGGCCACCAGCACCTGACCCGGGGCCACATGTCTACCCCATGGGTTGGGTTAGGGGCCAAGGGTTGGTGGCCACTAAGATATGACTAGTAGCCACCAAAATGTGACCAGTTCACCCTACGGGTTGGAGGTAGGTTGGGGGTGGGTGGTTACTAAAATGTTACCCGTGGCCACTGAAACGTGACATATGGACACGTGTCTACTGCGTGCTTTGGGGCAGGAGCTGTGACTGCCATGATATGACTAGCTGGCCCCAAAACATGACCAGCGTTTACCTTGGGGGTTGGAGTTGGGATCAGGGGTTGGTGGCTACTAAGATGTCACCAATAGCCACGTGTGTGTTGTCTGCTTTCGGGTAGGAACTAGGAGCTGGCAGCTATTAAGACGTGACCTGTGGCCACCAAGATGTGAGCAGTAGCCAAGTGTCCACCCTGTGGGTCAGGTTAGAGGCAGCTGGCCACCAAGACATGACTAATAGCTGCACATCCACCCTGTGGGTTGGAGATGGGAATGGGAGCAGCTTCGTGGCCACCAAGACGGGACTGGTGACCACGTGACCGTGGCCAGTAGCCACCTGCCCAGGTGCTGAGCTGTGACCCTGCCCCTCGCTTGCCCCCAGGTCGGCCAGGGCTACCCCCACGACCCGCCGAAGGTGAAGTGTGAGACGATGGTCTATCACCCCAACATCGACCTGGAGGGCAACGTCTGCCTCAACATCCTCAGGTGGGCTACGGGCAGGGCTGGGGTGGCCGCAAGCACATCTGGAGTGGCCACAACTGGATTTGGGTCTCATGTGCCCCCCAGTCACCCATCAGGGTGGGACAAGGGGGCCCCTGGTCCATGTGTCGCCCCTTGTTGTGGCCCTTGACGTGGCGGGAGGTGGCCACAGGGTGGACATGGACACATATGGGGTGGCCACGGTTGGATCTGGGCCCCTTTCCACTTTCCCAAATGCCAATGAGGGAGAGCAAGAGGGGGCACGCGGTGCCCTGGGTCCATGCACTGCTCCCACACGCCCCATGACCAGGCAGGTCCTGGGCCGAGGCACATTTGGGGTGGCCCCAACTGGATCTGGGGGCCATGACCCCCTAACGCCCAATTCTGTCCCCAGAGAGGACTGGAAGCCCGTCCTGACGATAAACTCCATCATCTACGGCCTGCAGTACCTCTTCCTGGTGAGTGCCGCTGCCTCGGGGACACCCAGTGGGCACCCAGTGGGTGGGGGGCACCAACCATGGCTCTGGGGTGGCCATAGGATGCCCTTGGGAAGCCCCATGAGGACACTGAATCGTGCCTGGACACCCTGTGGTGGCTCTGGGCCACTAGCAAGGGCAGCTGGTGGCCCTGGAACAGCCCACGTCACCCTGATATGGGTGCCCTATTGCCCTCAGGCGCCTGTCAGTGGCCTCGGGATATCCAGTGGCCCTAGGACATCTCTCTGGGGGTTTGGGTGGCTCAGGGCACCCTAGGGTGGCCCCGTAAATCTCCTGGGGGTACATGGTGGCCTTGGGCCACCCCAGGGTGGCCTCAGGACATCCCACAGGGGCATCCAGTGGCCAAGGGGGGCAAAAACTCCTCCAGTCTCCTGTTAATACTCCTCCCCCACTTAAGTTGGGCTTTACCCTGGGAGGGGGCTGATGGGATACTGGAGGTCCTGTTACGCTGGGCTGACGCTGCTTTCTTGGCCTGGGGTGGTATTTGCTGGTTAAAAAAATAATCAAAGGGTTTTAAGGAGCATTGGGGGGGTATTGTTGAGGTATCATGTGGGATACAAGGGTGCATTGGGGGCATTAAGGGGTATCAGGGGTGTTAAAGCGTAGTGGGAGTGTCAAGGAGGGTTTAAGCAATTTTGAGAGAAGTATCAGGGTTTAAAGGAGTATTGGCTGGGTACTAAGTGGTATCACTAGGGGTATCTGGGTATTGAGGGGATCTAGGGGGTATAGGTTGTGCTCAGGAGTACCGGGAGAGTATTGTGGGGTATAATGGGGTAATTGGGGGGATATTAAGGGTTATTAAGGAGTACTGGGGGTATCAAGGGGGTGTGGGGGTATCAAGGAACTCCAGGGTGTGTCAAGGTGGCTGTTAAGGAGTTCTGGGAGTATCAGGGGGTCTTGGTGAGTACCAGGGGACATCAAGGGGTATTGAGGGGGGTATTCAGGGGTGGCAAGGATTATCAGAGGGGTATTGAAGGTAGCGTGAGAGTATTAAGGAGCATTGAGAGGGGGTTTGGGTGGGTGCTGAGGAATATCAGGTGTATCCAGTGGGGTTAAGGAGCATCAAGGAATATCAAGGAGTATTAGGAGGTATCAGTGGCGGTGTTAAGGAGCATTATGGGGTACTGAGATTGCTATGGGGAGCGTTAAGGGATATCGGGGATAGCAATGAGTACCAGGGAGTACTGAGGGGCTGCTCAGGAGTACCAGCAGGTATTGCCAAGAAAGGAGCATCAAGGAGGCTGTTAAGGAGTACCAGGGAGCATCAGGGGGGCTGCTAAGGAGCGCCAGGGGATATTGACGGCGGTATGGGGGTGTTAAGGAGTATCAGGGGGTACCAAAAAGCACCACTGAGTATTGAGGGGGGGCTGTTATGGACTACCAGGGAGTACCAAGGGGTACCAGAGAGTATCAAGGGGGCTGCTAAGGAGCATTAGAAGGTACTGAGGGAGGTATGGGGGGGCGTTAACGGCCACTGGGGGTGTCAAAGAGTTCCTGGGAGCCCTCAGGGGGCTGTCGGGGAGTATCCGAGGAGTACCAAGGAGCATCAAGGGGCTTGTTAAGCAGCACCAGCAGTACGAGGGGTGTTAAGGGGTCTCAAGGAGTACCAGGGAGCCCTGAGGGCCCCTTAAAGAACAGCAGGGTGCATCAAGGAGCCCGTTAAGCAGCGCCAGTGGGTGAAGAGGGGCGTACGAGGGGCATTAAGGGGTAGCGGGGGGTATCAAGGAGCACCCGGGAGCCCCGAGGGGGGCAACTAGAGCGTAC